CGCCGAGAGCGTTCGGAGGGTGATTGGATCGTCCCGAACGGCCGCCAGGGAGCCGAGTTATGATCTGAGAAAACCCTGTGGCAACGCTCGGGTGGATACTTACGCTCAGGGTGGATGCATCGACCCCCAATCGCCCATTCATCGGCCACAGGGGCCCGACAGCCCCACTCCACCGTGACCGAGCAGATCTGCCATCGGCGGCATGACGCCCATCTGTCGGCGATGTGTCGCCGATTCCAGGTCGATGTTCCCCCCCCCCGCCCTGAGTCAGTCCCATCCCCCCCGACGCCCCTCCCCAAAAAGGAGCAGGGCACCTGCGTCTGCCGGGCGCACCCCTGCTGGAGCAACGAGGGCGTGGAGCACAAGTGCGAGGACCCGGGGCGGGCGACCCGGAGGGAGGGGGGGGGGGAGGCGAGGCGCGGCCAGCCTGGCCGCGCCTCACCCCCCCCTCCCTCCGCGGACGTGAGCGATACATTGAGCATGCATGGGCCAGTCAGCCCCCATTGAAGGCCCCCCCTTCTTTCCCCCTCCAACCTGGGCGGGTGCAGGGGAACTTGGGCGAACACTTCGGCCCTGCCGCCGGGCACGGTCGCTCCCATGGAGCCTCTGGGGCGCCGCCCGCGCGGCTGCCCTTCGCCGTGGCAGGCAGGGAGGGGGTGGCGCCAGGGGGCGCGAAGGCCGTCGCGCACCGCGGGGCGCGGTGCACGAAGTGTGGCGGCCTGGGCTGCATGCAGCTGAGAGCCTCCCCCAACCCCCGTGCTCGCAGGAGGGCCGGTTGACCTCCCGCCCGACCCAAGTCCGCTCGACATCGGACGCGTCCCTCGGGTCCAGCCAGGACCCCAGGTAAAGGGGCCCTGCTAGTAGTAGGGCCCCGGAGCCCCCAAAAGGGCCAGAATCACTAAATCAGGTCTTCCGTAGCTGGTGTTTTTTCGGGCGACGGCAGTTCCGGTTGGCGGAACGGGGCGGGGGGGGTCCCCCAAGTGCACATCATTGAACCAGGTCCCACTAAACTTAAGTCGGGCCTGTCCCCCTACACCAGGAATATTCAAACATAGTCCAAAAATATTCAGGGGACCAATTTTGAACATTTTTTGACTCTTTCGGGGGTAATGGCGTAAACATAGACCGTCGGAGGTCCGCGCGGATCTCGTGGTTCGGCGCTGGGCCCCCCCGTGGCGCGCAGAGCGCGCCCGGGGCGGCGCCGGTGGCGCCGCCAGGTGGCTCAAGCGCCGATCCGAGAAGTCTGCTCGGATCTCCTGAAGGTTTCCACGAAGGATTGCAACGAAGGATTGCAAAAAAAACCAAGGAAAAATCCTTCGTTGCAGCAAGGTTTTTTTTGCAATCCTTCGTTGCAACGAAGGATTGCAACGAAGGATTGCAACGAAGGATTAAACGAAGGATTGCAACGAAGGATTGCAATCCTTCGTTTTTTTGCAATCTTACGCGGTGGGCGGCGCGGCCAGCCGGATGCCCCTCGGTGTCCTGTCCGACGTGCGCCCCCGTGGGCGGGGCCGCGGGTCGGCCGCGGGTTGCGCGGTCGCGGCCTCGGCATGGTGATCACCCGTGTGTGCTGCGGTTTTGGAGGCCACGTTGCCGTTGGAGGAGTCTCGGGTCCTGTCTCGGGCGACGAAATCTATACATATCCATTGCTCCCTGGCCAGGCCCACTCTGAACCCAGGAGCTGTGTATGCGCCCTCCTGGCCCAGCCAGGAGGGTGTGGCGTATACACTGCTGCTGGGTTCACGGTGTGCCTGGCCAGGGAGCAGTGGATATGTATAGATTCGGTCGCCCTACTGCCGCGTGTTTTGTGCAATCAATTTTGCTTGTATTGCGAAGGCCTTACGGCTGGTGCCGCCGACCCTGAAGGGGGACAACGACGACAACGGCGGCGACGACGGGGGCGGCGGCGGCGGCGACGACGACGACGCTGACGTGGGTCAGAGTCCTCAGGGATGCTGTTTGGGGTCTCTTCGTAGGGGGCAGTTTGTTTGGGGGCCTCTTGGGAGCATCCTGTGGGCCTCTTGGCAGCCTCTTGGGAGCCGCTTGTTTCTGTTCCCCGACCTTCCACGTCAACGCCAGCCCCCCGCGCGCCGCTCGCCTCCTCGCGCCTCCTCTGCGACGAGGAAGAGGAGGAGGAGGAGGAGGAGGAGGAGGAGGAGGAGGAGGAGGAGGAGGAGGAGGAGGAGGAGGAGGGAGGAGGGAGGGAGGGCTAGGAGGGAGGAGGGTGGAGGAGAGGGAGGAGGGAGGAGGGAGGAGGGAGGACCCGTCGTTCCCCCACCTCCGCTTCCACGTCAACGCCAGCGGGGGCCTGCAGTGCGGCTGCGGCAGGCAGGCCGCGATGGACTCGCTGCACGTGGCGAGGGACCTCTGCGCGGGGGAGCAGTGCTCGTCCGACGAGTTCCCCGTCCTCGACTGGGACGCGCAGGCCGCCCCCGGGGAGGGAGGAGGAGGAGGAGGAGGAGGAGGAGGAGGAGGAGGAGGAGGAGGAGGAGACGGAGGT